TTTGGTTAGTGTTCTAAAAATCATCCTAGACGCTCGACAGTGGGGTTTTGTGACAATTTTAGGCAAAATGGTGATTAAAATCGAGTAGGGACTAGGCGATTCCATGTTTTTTTTAATTATAATTAATTATTTAAGCTAATACGGGTAACCCGTAACCTACCTAAAAGAATTTGTTAGATTAATTCAGTTGTGAAAACCATTTTTTTATTTGTAATTTGTTAATTTGCTTACTGAGCTTATTGACTTTTATTGCATTTTATCTTTATTTTATTCATATAAGTATAATTTTTTTAAGGTTAAATAGATACTTATTTATACGATATAATAATAAATTTACTTAAATCTGTCTAGACGCTAAGCCTCAGTCTGCCACCCGATTAGCACTTAGCATCTTTTATAACTTTGACCCAAATCATATTTCAATGTAGATTAGGGCTCATTCAAGGATCTTGGCATAACCCAATGTAAGCCGTACATGGGAGTATTAGGCTAACTGGACCACTAAATTAAAGCCCATAACTAGTTAGATTGGATGGTGTAAATTTGGAAACAAACGATATGCTACCACCTCATGTAGTACTGGAATCCATGAAGAAATGGATAAGTCTGCCATCAATGTTTGGTGGATACTTCCCATATTTAAATACGAACATACATTTTGAAAAATTTTTTTACATATTTTTCAACATGTAGATTTTATAATCAACCTATATCACAGGCTGATTGCATTATCTACCTATATAAAATATTTATATTTATAATTAACATGTATCACTGCTTAATGTATCTTACTTGCAGATATTATATTTTTGTATTTTGTAGTTAGGTTTGATACCTTACTTATAGGTAGAATGTACATTTAATTGTCTACCTATGCCAAAGGTTTTTTTCTTTTTATTTTGATCAGTGTTCTAAAAATCATCCTAGGTGCTCGACAGTGGGGTTTTGTGACAATAGGCAAAATGGTGATTAAAATTGAGGAGGGACTAGGCGGTTCCAAGTTTTTTTTATTATAATTAATTATTTAAGTTAATATGGGTAACGCGTAACCTATCTAAAGGAATTTGTTAGATTAATTCAGTTGTAAAAACCCTTGTTTTTTTTTTTTTTTTGGTAATTTGTTAATTTGCTTATTGAGCTTATTGACTTTTATTGCATTTTATCTTTATTTTCTTCATAGAAGTATAATTTTTTTTAAGGTTAAATAGATACTTATTTATATGATATAATAATAAATTTATTTAAATTCGTATAGGCGCTAAGCTTCTGTTTGCCGTCCGATTATCACTTAGCATCTTTTATTACTTTGACCCAAATCATATTTCAATGTAGATTAGGGTTCATTCAAGGATAGTACACGGGAGTATTAGGCTAACTGGACCACTAATCAAAGCCCATAACTAGTTAGATTGGATGGTGTAAATTTGAAAACAAACGATACGCTACCACCTCCTGTAGTACTGAAATCCATGAAGAAGGGAATAAGTCTGTCATCAATGTTTGGTGGATGCTTCCTATATTTAAATATGAACATACATTTTGAAAAATATTTTTACATATTTTTCAACATTTTATAGGAGAAACTTGATATAAGTCCAATTTATAAATTTTCTTTTATAATCAACCCATATCACAGGTTGATTGCATTTATCTACCTATATAAAATATTTATATTTATAATTAACATGTATCACTGCTTAATGTATCTTACTTGCAGATATTATATTTTTGTATTTTGTAGTTAGGTTTGATACCTTGCTTATAGGTAGAATGTACATTTAATTGTCTATCTACCTAGGCCAAAGGTTTTTGTTCATAGTCTACCTCTAACCTAGATTAACTGTATTACACTTTTTTTTTTCTTTTTATATATCTTTATCACAAAAGTTAATGAATTTAAAAAAATTTCATCTAAAAAGAAAACCAAATAATTGATACAAAAATATGTAATTAGATAACTGGACCTAGTCCCATAAACAACCTACACTTGTGGACCTAGATCTGAAAACCCCATTTTATAGTAACCCATTGTCCTAAATAAAAGTGATGTGGAAGCATTTTAATTAATACATGACGTGGAAAATGAGGTGGATTTTAACTTATAAAATACAATAAATCTAAGGGAGCATTTTTGGTCACCACTATAAACTATGGTATATGCTCATCATACACCAAATCAATTGACACATGTCATTTTACTTAATCTTGGTTAATTTTTTTCAAAATTGAAAAAAACTAAATATTTAACGTGAAAGTTAGCTAGAGTTAGATGAAATGACACGTGTCAATTGATTAAATGTATGTGAACATACACCCCTAGTTATTATGGTGAGCAAAAATGCTCCCTATGTCTAATGAAGATAAAGTTAGTAACCCGTAACCTACCTAAAGGAATTTGTTAAATTAATTCAGTTGTGAAAACCATTTTTATATTTGTAATTTGTTAATTTTACTATTATTAGAGTGAAGAGGATTCGAAACTATTACAATAATTTTGAGAAAATGAGAACTTCTAACCCGGGACGTATGGGTAGCAACCCCAACACTTTATCCACTAAGATAATAAATCACATGCAAGGGCAAAAAGACTTGATGTTTGAATTTCTTACGTCTTCATTACATGTCACTTTGATTCGATTAGTACTAATTCCGATGAACATAAAAACAAAGCAATTAATCTAAGGGACATTTTGATATAAGCACATTGTTTTTAAATGTCATAGACTAAATATCTATTCATTTTGCAAATTTGATTAAACATTTTCCCTACAATTTTAGTACTTTAATTTTATTTCATTAGAAGTCTATTCACGTTAGCATTTCTTTTTTTTCCTCCTATTTTTATGCATCTCTTATTATGATGATTTAAGATTTTTTTTTTTAGTTTTTATTAAAATATTTATTTTAGTAAAATAAATAGAATTTAACAAAACTCGTTGTTAGTTACGTTTGGTTATATTGGTACGTTTGATTATAATGGTACATTTGAATTTTTGTTCTATTTGGCTTCTTGGTACATTTGAATTTTTGGTACATTTAGTTTTTGGTACATTTGAATTTTTGGTACATTTATTTTCAAAACATAAGTTTTATTACTTTTGTCCTAATAATGACGAATTACTGTAATTAATTATTTGTTTTTATAGAAAGAGTCGTTAACAATGTAAAAGTTTGAATTACTTTAATTAATTAATTTTTATTTTTATAGAAAGAGTTATTAATCAACGGACAATTGCCTTTTTGTTAATTCAAAATTATATGATTTATCGTTATTATTTAGCATTATCTACAATAATAAGGATTTATCTCTTATCAACTAAAAGTTGTTCCAGAGACTTATCTACCAAAAAACAAGACTATCTAGAGCATTGTGTATGAATCAAACATATTTTTAAACATTACAAAAAGATGAATATTCATTTTAATATAGTTTATAATTGGGTACGTTTTAATTTGGGGTGGATATGTTTTCGTTTGACGTTGGTACGTTTTCATTTAATGTTGGTACGTTACCATTTGGCGTGGGTGTACATTTAGATTTGAAAAGTTTAAATTTTTAGACTTAAATATAGTTGACATTATTTAAAATATATAACAGATATTTAAATGTAAATTAATTTCAATTAATATGAAGTAGTTCAAGTCTGAGTATTTTAATCAAATGTTTCAAAAGTTTAATAAAAAAACTCAAAAAACATAAATGTTTAGTCTACAAAAGTCTAAAATGAGGCATCGAATTTTAATTTTCTCTTAATCTAATCCTACACTCAGTCTCTTGAATTTTTGTTAGGTTAAGTATATTAAACCTAACCCTAATTCTTCATTCTTCTTATCTTGGTGTGATAAATTAGGTTGTACAAATATCTACCTCATAGTGATATTCTAGGGTTAGGGTTTAATTGTTTGCAACTAACAAAAAATTGAAGAGGCTGATAGTGTAGAGAATGAACCGTGTAAAATGGCAATGGAACCGCTACATATCAGAAAACAAAAAACCGATGAGAAATGTACTGCATGTGATTTGAAGGACATTTTTTTGAACTAATTATTGCCACCAATCTCCGTGGATGAAGGCTCCTGTGTGTGTAGGAGTTGTGCTTGTTCACGAGAATGAATTCCTTGTCAGGCTAGTTTGAAAACTTTGAATTTTAATGATAAGAACAAAATAAAGGATAAAGTGTATAGTAACATGATTGACTTTTTAGTGTAAAAGTATAGTTTTTCGTTAAAGTGAATAATACTGTGACTTTTCGTTTAAACTCCCCTATATAAATTTGTTAGATTTTTATATGCAAGAACTAATTGTTAATTATCGGAACCACTTAGGAGTTCAGTAAGATTTAAATATACGTTTTACATTTTAATTTACATGAGATAAAATAATTTTTTGTTTTTATTTTTGGCAAAAAGAAGAATTTTTTATTTTTTAGTTTTGTCAAAAAAAGATTAAGAATAGGAAATAATTTGGCTAAGCTAACAATCTAATTTAGCATTTCGAGATTCAAACCTATGATAGAAATGTCAATCTCTACTAATTAATAAAACACTCATTGTCAATCAAAATTTTATGAAATTACCAGTTTAACCCTCTAATTAAAACAGAACATGAATAAAAAATATGGGGGTATAAATGTAATTTCACACAACTAAATTTTGCTGTTTTTTTTTTTCAAAGCCTCACCTATATGTAATCCTAATATATCTCTAATTAAAAAAAAAAATTCCCACCCACACGTTCTCTATCACTCCCTTTCTCGCTCATTCTATTTCAAAAACAAAAATAAAAATTTTTCCACGCATTGTGTGTGCCCATATACTATTAATATTGACGAAAAGAAGAATTTTTTGACATAAATAATTTTTCCATTTCTTGGAAAAACCTCCCCTCAAACCAATTTCACGCGCAAAATACACTCTCTCCGTCTCCGTTTCCCCTCTCTCGGGGCCAATCACCGATATATAAATACGCACCCAACCGAAATCAAAGGAAAAATAAAGTACAAAAAAATAGAGAATTTCGAACGAGGCTCCGAGATCTCGATTTATCCGTTAAATCTCAGGCGAGATCTCGACCTTGAACCCGATCCGATCCGCATAGATCCGAAATCACCATGGCTCCCGTTTCGGCTCTCGCCAAGTACAAGCTCGTCTTCCTGGGGGACCAGTCCGTCGGTAAAACCAGCATCATCACTCGCTTCATGTACGACAAGTTCGACAACACCTATCAGGTAATCGGATTACACCCCTTTCCTATTCTTCTGCAACTTCTGTGTGATCTTCCGATTCTTCAACCTTTTTCTGTTTCATTTCTGTCAATATTTATGAACTGCAGCAATGTCTTGTATTGATTGATGGTAGGTTTCTAGATGGTGATTGCTTTCGGTTACGGTATTAGTGTTGAAACGAACTACTGTGGGCTGTGATTGCTGTCGAATTTCAATTTCTTTCGGGTGTCGAAAATTGCGTTATGTATGTGTCAAATTTGTGAATAATACTGGTTTGGTTTGTGGGGATCCAAAGACTGGTTGCTGTACTGTAGTGGCGGAAATCTGTCTTGTAGTTTTCGAAAATTCGTTCTGGGACTGATGTGGCCGGCTTATGTGATTGGGGCGGTACTGTGTCTGCCAACTGGTTCAGTACATTAGGGCATTCTTCTTTCTTTTTCTTGAAATGTGCTAATTGGATTTCCTACATGTGAAAATAAATAAGTAAAAGAGAAAGGTTGATCGGGAGATGGACGCTAATCAACTGGATTTGTAGCGGTTGTAATGGGTAGAACTAGTGTAAAATTGTAGATGGTTATGATTATTTATTTCACTTTGGAGTGGGGAAGAAGAATTAAACAAAAATCTTACTACTTTGTTCGCATATTGCAACAGTAAATTCTAAACATCTATTGACCGGTATGGGTGGGGCTGAGATTCAAAAAAAACTTGAGGCAGGCATTGACAGGGATGTGGGGAAAATGGGTGTCACCCTTCCCGCAATTGGATCCTTAAATAAGGAACTATTTCTTAAATGTTAATGTATAAAGCCTGAAAATAGCTCCTTTGAAAATACTTCTTTGTGTGTTTGTATTTGTATATTGTGTATTCGGTTGTTGCTTATCTCTTTTAGTAACTGGTCAGATATCTTGACTACCTTTTTTTTTTGTTGGGATTGTGTGAATTTTTTGTTTGTAAAATGTCATTCATTTTTCTTACATTTCTTGCACTGTACTGATATCTATTCTCAATACTCAACCTACATGTTGTGAATTATTTGTTCGAGTTTTCTCTTTCTAAGCTTATATGTTTATTTATTACAACCAGGCTACCATTGGCATTGATTTTCTGTCAAAGACAATGTATCTTGAAGATCGAACTGTTCGGTTGCAGCTCTGGTTAGTCTTTATCCCTTTATTTAGTTTTTGGTCCTGTAGATGTTATCTTTTTCTTCCTAATTTTTGTGACCAATTGATGGAGTATAACTCCTGTTTTCATGTATAAGGTTAAATTTTCATTTTGACATGATCTTGCTCGGCATTCTGATTCCATGATGTTATGTTAGTTTACTGTTGACTTAAATGAATGGTTATTAGGCTTCTTTTATACAAGATATTGACTCTTGGCACTCAGTAGTACTCATTTTAAGCACTCGAGCCACGTTTCACATTTCATTTTTGAACATTCGCTCTGAAGTTGTGGGGTTGTTTTATATTTCTCTCAGTGATTAGCAGGGGTTACTTAAGTCATCCTAGAACAAGATTGGCATGGTGGGAATATTTTTTATCGCGTGATACATAAACTCTTAGAAATTTTGAACAGGGATACTGCTGGGCAGGAAAGGTTCAGGAGTCTCATTCCTAGCTACATCAGGGATTCCTCTGTGGCTGTCATTGTATATGATGTTGCAAGTATGATCTCTCTCTCTCTCTCTCTCTCTCTCTCTCTCTCTCTCAAAAGTAACTTTATTGGAGTTGAAGTTTGTATCTTTCTGATTAAATGACTGGGATTTCATGTTTGATGAATTTCACTGACCATTTGTGGCTCATTCTTATGGTGTAGGCAGACAATCATTCCTAAACACTTCCAAGTGGATTGAAGAGGTTCGCACTGAGCGGGGAAGTGATGTTATCATTGTACTTGTTGGAAACAAAACAGATCTTGTAGACAAAAGGTAGTGATTTGTTTTCTTCTTTGCAGTAAGTTATAAATAATGTTGATTCTCGTGTTTCCAACTGCAATTTCACTTTTAGTTTGATAGTCCTGTACACGTGGACGTGGTCTGCATGGCAACGATGACTTGTTCATTTAGTGCAACCTTTTCCCTATTATTTCATTTGCATACTTGACCAATCTGAGCACTTTTAAGAAGATGTTTTTTTATCAAGCTGTGTGGTTGTTCATTCGTAAAACATGCATGGTGAATACGTGTTTGGTACTGTAGATGGGAACGAGGAGGGTGGTACAAGTTTTCCCCTCAGGTCGTATGATCGTATCTGATTGTCAGTTAGGCTAGCTAGCTTCTTGCATTTGATTTTTCTTGCCACTTCTGGTGCTCATATTTGGGGTCTATTGTGGATGGATGGACAGGCAAGTTTCCATAGAGGAAGGAGAAGCCAAAGCTCGTGACCTCAATGTTATGTTTATCGAGACCAGTGCCAAGGCTGGCTTCAATATCAAGGTAAGCTACATTTCTGCTCAGCGAGTTGTATCATACTCTACTCCCTTAATGCTGGTGATTGTGCTACTGTTCAATACTTGCTATAACATAGATTTAAATTAAATCTGTTATTCCCACAACAGGCACTGTTTCGGAAGATTGCGGCAGCTTTACCAGGAATGGAAACACTTTCTTCAACGAAGCAAGAGGACATGGTTGATGTGAACCTGAAGTCTTCGAACGCAAATTCATCACAGTCGCAGGCACAGTCAGGCGGATGCGCTTGTTAATTTTTACATGGGTGTTAAACTGAATTTTTTTTTTTTTTTGCCCCTTTCCTTATATGCTGCTTTGATCCTGCTATCTGTAAAGTTAGTTGCTATCCGGGTTCCACCATTTTGTAGCATTTGGAGTTTTGTGTTTGATTTATTGTTAAGCAAGTGTACACTGTTTGGGTAAGCTTAGAATATCAGACTTTCAGGCTCTCAGTTTAAAGTAATTAAAAGAAACATTTACATATTTTTTCTGCAAACTAATTTTAATAAATTCGGATGGTTGTATTGTATGGGGTATGTTCGGAAAGTTTCGCACTATTTTAGTTATTGGCATGCGCTCGAGCTGATTACTGTCGAATTAGAAAAATAAATTGGTATCGAACTTATTATTCACATAATCGGACTAGATTTTCGGCTTACAAGTAAAGAGGAACATCTTTAAAACCGACTTCTATCTGGAATTCCTTCACTTAGAGGTATCCTGAGTTGTTTTCAATTACTGAAATCCAAATGCTGATCATTTTTACACATTTGAAGTGCCTTTAAAATGGTTCAAAGCGTTTTTGGATTAAGCCTTAGTAAAAATGCAAGTAAATTTTGGAAAAGCGTCTTGAAATGCTTCTTACAAGAAACACATAACTAATTTTTTCTAGAGAAAGCACTTCAAGTGCTTTTAGAATTATAAAACATTTTGCTTCTAGGATTCAAAAACATTTTCTTTTAAACGTTTTCAGTAATTTTGAATGCACTCTCAAACTAGCTTTTAATTAGGATAACACAAAGCTAGCAAGAAGCAATATCCAACCAAAACAAATCCAGAACGTGACCAAAATCTCTCCTCCCAAATCATTAGTCACAGTTGGTTTATGTGGTGGCCACATATCAAATACCAATAATACCCCCGCGGTCCCAATCATAGGTTGGTATTGGATTCGCAGGTCTCTTCTTTCCCTCTCGCTCCTCAGTTCTCAAAAGCTCTCTTCTGCTTTTCTCTGGGCCGCGCAGATATCTGATGGGTTCACACGCGGCAGAATCCGATTGGTGGAGAGGTATGTAAAGTACAGTATTTGTTTGTCTTTTTAAGTTGCATATTCCTACGATTCTATTTTTTCTCTGAAAACTCGCCACTGTTTTCGATACAAGTCTAAAATTCTGATTCTGGAACAACACCAAAACAGTAAATAAATAAACAAAATAAAATTGTGAAAATTTTGTAAATTTTGTGTGATTAAGATTAAGTTAATAACCTCTTAATTCCAGTCTTAACTATGATAATAACACTGCCCACCGATTACTGCCGCTCTACCTCTACCACTTCAAAAGCTCTCTCATTCAGTCACGCCAACGCCAACCCTAACCCTAACCCCAACTAAGCAAACATGGCAATGCCAGGTCTCTCTCTCTGGGGTTTTTTTTTATTTATTATTTTATGTTTTTGTGTTGAGTTGTGAAGATTAATGGAGAAATTAGATCTGGGTTTTGTTTATTTTGATTAATATGTTATTGGGTTTTCATTTAGAATAATCAGAATCTGAGGCTTCATTTGGTTCGCTGGCAGACTGTACGTATGAATAGAAGAACAGAATAGGATGCAAAGCTTAAATTTTGGTCACTTATATATAAGAATTTTTTTCTTTTTTTTTCCCAGTTACGGTCAATCACTCACATGAAACTTCCAATTGGGTTTTCGATTTTCGCTTCTTTTTTTCGACAAATTGGTTAATTTAATTCATTTACTAACTTTTCTGTGCTTCTGGTGATTATTGTATGCTTTTAGCTGGTTAGTTTTGGATTTGAATCTGTTATGCTTTTAGCTGGTTATTGTTACGCATGTATTTGTTACACAATTGACCTCTTGAATGTTTAATTGATTGAAAGATATCCTATACGAAAGTCTCGATCTTTTCAATGTTTCATTTGATTACTGTTTGCCGCCGCCTCGCTTAAATTGGCACTTGCAGGCAATGTTGTTGAAATTGAAGAATGCTAAATGAATTTTACAAACACATTTATGTTAGTGCTTATGAATGAGATATCGTTAAGTCCTTGCTTGTACATGCGTGCTTATTAATTATCCCATTGTATCCCTTCATCAAAATGTTCCCGGGCATTTGATGAATGGAAAGAAGTGATGACCATAGAAAGGCCCTTATTTTCTGTTTGAATCTTAGAATCACCGTCATTTGAAAAGGAACGTGTTCAATGTTGCGGCTTGTGATTTGTTTGCCAACCTGATAGAAGCTAACTTGCATATGCTTTTGTATTTGCAAGAAACGTGATGCAGCAAAAGTTTAAATCATCAGTAGTGTAAGTCATATTTATTTCAAGGATTATGGAAGGACTATATTGACTACACGTATGAGGAAATGAGAGCGTATGTTACTTGCATCTCGACCAATAATTTCTATATAAATTCTAGCTCTGATATTTACCAGATTTGTACCAAACCTTGAAATGTAGATAAAAATCTCTGTATAGATGCCATGTTTTCTGATTACATGTTTCATGATTCTCCTCTTTTTAATGCTTTAGTTTCTGGTTGTGACCATTCGATGAACTGTAACCTTAATAATTTGTTTACGTGTGTGTATGCAAATACAGATAGCCAGGAATCAATTTTACCCAGAGATGGAACTGTGATTGAGCAGACACTATTTGTTAAACTTGGTCGTTGGCAATGGTGGTTTTTGGTGGTACTCAACGTCTTCTTCGTCCTTGTGGGGCAGTCTGCTGCTGTTTTACTGGGAAGATTCTATTATGACCAGGGAGGTAATAGTAAGTGGTTGGCTACTCTTGTCCAAACTGCAGCCTTCCCAGTCCTTTTCATCCCACTTTATTTTCTTCCTTCATCCAAAGATCAAGCAATTTCTTCAAACCCGCCTTCCATTAAAGTTCTTGCCTTGGTTTACTTCTCTATTGGAGTGCTCTTAGCTGGTGACAACATGTTGTATTCTGTCGGACTCTTGTACCTATCTGCCTCTACTTATTCCCTCATATGCGCAACTCAATTAGCTTTTAATGCCGTTTTCTCGTACTTCCTCAACTCTCAGAAGTTCACAATGCTGATTCTTAATTCAGTGATTATCGTGTCATTCTCAGCAGCTCTTATTGCCGTCAATGATGATTCCGGAGGACCAACAGGAGTCTCGAAGGGGAAATATATCCTTGGCTTCATCTGTACCATTGGAGCCTCTGCATTGTACTCTCTTCTGCTTTCCCTCATGCAGCTTTCTTTCCAAAAGGTTTTGAAAAAGGAAACGTTTTCTGTGGTTCTGGAGATGCAAATCTATACAGCCCTGGTCGCTACTTGTGCTGCAACCATAGGTCTTTTTGCAAGTGGGGAATGGAGGAGTTTGAATGGGGAAATGGAAAACTATGGCAAGGGACAAGTTTCTTACGTGATGACCCTAGTTTGGGCAGCTGTGGCTTGGCAAATTTGTTCTGTTGGTGTCGTTGGCTTAATTTTCGTGGTTTCTTCTCTCTTCTCCAATGTAATCAGTACTCTCTCTTTGGCTGTTACTCCTATAGCCGCTGTGATAATCTTCCATGACAAGATGAACGGTGTCAAGGTAATTGCTATGCTTCTGGCTCTTTGGGGTTTCGCCTCTTATATTTATCAGAACTATCTCGATGATTCTAAGGCAAGAAAAAAACTACCTGATGCTAGGGAACCATAAAATGATTCCTCTACTTAATGGAAATGATAAAACTGCACAGGAATTGAATTGTTTATATCTCACTAAATGCTGTAGAAATGTATTCATTTAGTTTTCGATCAATGCCATTCTCACATTTAAGCATATTGTTCATAGTTACTTTGGTTGGAGAATTATTTTGTGTCAAAATAGATAAAACTATGACAGAAACTATCACGGGATGCAGTTATTCTTGTGTCGTAGGTAATGTTGATTTCGATCCCTAAACCCTACTGTCTAAATATGTATTATAGGGACCCTTACCTGATGATCTGTGTCAATGACCTGCATTAGAATCCCACACAAGTTTATGAGTCTTATGATATGCAGCCTATTCTCGTAATTGTCTTATTCATTTGAGCTGCATAAGGATTTGTCAAAGAAAATACCAAGATAGAAGCAAGCACAGCCAGCAATATCCAGCCGAGCATAAGAAGAGCTCAAATGGAACCCTCGTCTTTCTTGCTCTTTAGAAAGCTTGGCTGGATGTTGCTGGCTGTGCTTTTGGCAATGCAGAATTAAAGATGACAGGAATGTGGAAGATAAGTAGGTAGGATAAGAGTGGATTCAAAGGGGTGCTCTCGCACGGTTGCACCTCACCATCCTCCATCCGCTCTTCTTTATGTCTCCTTTCTCCTATGTATTACCACTCTAACTCTCCAACGATAAAAGTGAAGATTAAGAACAAAATAATTATCGAATAAGCCGTAGTTAATTCATTCTAACAATAATAAAATCGTTAGAGTGCTGAGGCAAAATTTACCGATGAGATTGATTTTCACACATGTTTTTTAACTTTCGCACACTGCCAAGGCCGGTTTTGACATTTTTGAGGTTCGGGGCAACACCAAAAAATATGCCCTAACTTCAACCACAATAATGTAGAAACATGAAAAAACTAATTTATTTTGAATGGAACCAAAAAAAACCATGGGCTTACAAGTAGATAAATGATGAGTTTTGTTTTCTTTTTATCTGAACTTTTAAAGTATTTTTATATAAATCGTATTGTATTTTTTCTTATATGCTAACCTTTTCAATAAAGGACTAAAAATTAATGATGTTTACTAGTCTTTAATTGAAATGTATAAGCAATGAATGAACACTAAATTAAACCTATTGGTGACACGTCATAGGATTTGCAAATTTGGTCTAAAATTTTGCCTATGCATTACTCTTTGTTGAAGGTTAGACTTGAGTTGGAACGAATGTTCAAAAACTGCAACCCACATAGCTACTAGTTAGTAACTAAAAAGAAATTAAAAACTAAATAGAAATTCGTAAAAATGAAAAGAATAAACATGCACATATTGTAGGCCTATTTGACTGAATTGTATTTAGGACTAGAGGGGGAGAGGGGCTAGCGGCAAGAGAGAGAGAGAGAAGAGAGAGATTTAATTGTGCAGTGTGTGTTGTGAGATATAGCCAAAAATTAACTCTTAATTTCAAAAATGTCACTTTTTATAAAAACTTTCAAATATGTACAAAATTTTACTTAAATACACACTAATACCCTCAAATTTAACAATTAAATAAATTAAAGGCTTTTTAGCTACTATCGCCTTAAGCTCCAGTCCAACTTCACCTTCACTTCTACACTCCACCACCACAACCCTATCCCCTTTGACCCCCCATCACCGACATTGAGTGTCGTTGTGGTTACCACAAGTGGGAGCAGCATAATTTCAATCATGCATTCAACGCCTTTTTTCTCACTAATATCATTTTTAGTTTTAAATATAAAATAGTTTTTAAAGTTAATTCACATGTTGTTATATGATTGTATTTGTGAGGCCCACATTGGCGCCACATCATCACACTAACAGAGCAATTAACAGATTTTTCACGAAAAAACTAAAATGAACACGATGGACAAATTCATGGAAAGACTAAAATGATTCACGATAAACAAATTCAAGAACACTACTATTGATTATCATTATTGTTAAGGATAAGATTAAGGAGTTATGTCAATGTCATGAATTATTTTGGCTAAAAAGTCTTTAATTTATTTGATTGTTAAATTTAAGGGTATTTGTGTCTATTTAGATGGAATTTTAGATATATTTGAAAGATTTTATAAAAAGTGACATTTTTGAAATTAAGGGTTAATTTTTGGCTATATTTGATAAATATTCGTGTGTTGTATCACCCAATTGTACCTTTATTTATAATGGTAGGATAAGTTAAATCCTTATCCTAATAGGATTACAACTCTAATAGGATATTAACTACTAAAGAGAATATTTCAAGATATCCCTAGATACACTAGGATTTACACAATTACATTCCTATTCTAAATATGATTGCAACAGCAAACCATTACTTCTAATTAAACCTCTTGATTGTTTGGACAAATTTTATAAATTTAAACTCTTATGAAAATAAATTCATAAAAGCGGGAAAGTATAAAAAGACACATAGTGTTTCAAACCCAAGACCTCCTTGATAATTTTAAACAACATAAATCACCACTTATGGTCAAACTTTTTGATCATTTGGCCAAATTTTATAAATTTGTATTCTTATTACAAGAAATTAGTAAAAATTGAAAAATAAATAAACATGCATGGTGTTTTGAATCCAAACCTCCTCATTAATTTAAAACAACAAAAGCCACCAGCTCTGCTTAAATTTCTTTTGTTATTCAACCAACTTTTAAAAATTTACACCCTGATGAAAATATATATGTATATACCTTCCTAATATTTTTGGACCCTGAATGATCGCCTAGCCCGCATTGGGCTTGGGCCGGCCTTGCACACTCCTCTTTATTGTGTGCGTTTATCATTTCCCCTTGCAAACTTATAAACTAAAATACTTAAATCGATACAATGATCCCTATGCCTATGCGTAAACATCGATACAATGATCCCTATGCCTACGTGTAAACATCTGGAACAAAAAAATTAGTTCTTGTGTACTAGCTTGCTAACCTGGAATTCTTCATTTTGTTTTGAATTTCTTTTTATAGTTAGTAAGTTTGCGTATGGTACTCTTATTATACACATACATACATATTTTTTGAAATACTTTTGTTTTATGTACATGTCTTAATGATTTGTTAAGGTGCACATTTTTTAAAACTCCAATATACGATACACATAACATATATTTACTTACTTTCTTTTCACGTTAATACATATTATTTAGATATATTTTTTAATTATACATATAAAATTCACATATTCAATATGTATATTTAACTTACAATTGAAAACCAAAAATAAATAACTATTTTAAATAAATCAATATAAATAAATAAAAAAGGTCGAATTTTCAAAGTAATTTTTTAGCAAAGTTGCTGAATAATCACATGCTATACCTATTCCGTATTTTCCCAACTATATTTTATTTGTCTCTTGTTTCTATAAGATTTGAAAGTCTACTTATTTCATCGTCAACTCATCCTCCTTCCTATGTGTTACTATTCAATGCAAGAACTTTGGGTTGTGAATATAATGTCTAGCACTAGGTGTCAGTTTCTAGGGCAAGAATGCTTTATATCCAACGTTAGAACAAAAATATTTTATTTTAATCAAAAGAAATTTAAAAAATACATAAACAATTATGTGAAGATTAACTTAAGCCTAATATATATTAGTTTGATTCCTCCTTATTTATACAGGTCCAAGAAAAGTGGACCGAGATCAATCCACCACAGAAACCAAGGCCGCCGGCGATAAAGAACATAAAAAATAACAAATATAAACCCAATTATTTGGAATCGGGCTCTTTGAAAAAACAAAAAAAAAAAATATTATTGTTAAGAGATTCGGTATTGGCCTAAAAATTACAATGTTTATGTGGTGCACAAGTAGAACAAGTATGAGTTAATTACGTCATTCTTGTAAATGCGGACATGCTAATTCGTAACTGAGCTCGGTCAGGCGAGTGTAGATGTATATGATGAGTCGAATGCGTTACTGACTTCTGCACTTGAGCAAGTACGGCCGAGGAAGGAACACGTATCGGTCGTGGGTTCTAGAACCTGAATACAAGGTTACTAAACCACTACGAAGTTAAATAATTGGTTCGACTTCCAATTTGCCTAACACATGATGTAACCTAGTAACAACTCATTGTGAAGTTATTTTTTTCTTAACCCACAATAAATGTTCCTAAACTAGGACATGTATACAATATCAAATAATATATCAAGTAATATATTTATGCAGTTAAATATATAGAACAAACCCACAATGTGAATATCAAGTAATATATTCTCTTCTTCGATTGACTTTTTGTTGAGATGATTTTTAAATAATTATTAACAAATTAACAAACTAAACATAAGCATTTTGGTTGAGACGGAAATAAAGCGATGTGAGGGAAAACTGGTCATATCTGTCTTCCCTTTTGAAAACAAAGTCTACCTAACACATGTCCCCTATTTTAATTTAATTTGCTTGGCAAAGTACATGCAAGAGTAACATGCATGGAAGAATACAAGAATAACTTACAAATCTCTTGTATATATAAATATATATAACTGAATACAAACAACCACCATATTCCATATATGTAGATACATGAAATATGATGAATGATTTTATAATGATTTTACCTCAAGAAAATTCTTTTTCCTACATTCTCTTCGATCCCAATTCGAATCGACCAATTCATGGTTTTGTTTTTGGGTTGCTGACCAATTTATGGTCAGTCCATACATGGTGAGCTTATTCTCTTTCTGCTCGATACTTAGGAATTTACGGTTGTTTATTCTTTTGTGGCCGTTCTTGCACTCCTTCATCTACAGTGATGCGAAAATTTGGTTTCAACATTGCTTGGCTCTTTATATCTTAAAGTTCATTTTTCTGTAGCTGTAAATCACAACCCAGCACATACAAAACTAACTCATTAAAAGTATGAAAATAACATTTTATGCACTTTTAAATTGTTGTTTGTTTGTAAGAAGAAATGGGTACAATACAAGATTCCCACATCTAAATATTGATAAACTTCAAATATATTAAGTGGTTCTACTTTTAATTCACCGAAATATTTCATGATAAAATTCACCCACATTCTTACACATTCCTTGTTGTAAGTTTGATGAAATGCAAACATGGTTAGTGTTGGACTGATAACTCGTCTATCTGAAATTAATCTTTGGACATTTAAGATCTAAAAACGTATAATCACCAAATTTTATAAATTGGGGGTGCTCCAAGATTGAACTAAGACTAAAAGAGGACAATAAAGTCAACACGTCTATCTGAAATTAATCTTTCGACATTTAAGATTTAAAAACGTATAATCACCAAATTTTATAAATTGGAGGTGCTCCGAGATTGACCTAAGAATAAAAGACAACAACAGAGCCAACACGAATAAATTGCCGGGAATTTACAAAGAAATGAATGTCTTTGATGCTAACATGCACGCAATATACGGTGATCAATGTGGCTCACATTTATCGATACCGTTCGCACTTATTAATGGCAGCCTCATCAATATTCTTCATTTTCTTTTTTAGAAATGGGTAATGCTAGGGAGTTTAAATTTGTAGACGTAATTTACATGCTAAATGATATGTCATCCACTGACGGATCCACATGGGGACCCGAGAGGTCCCTTTGATCATTCGGAAGCCCGAAGAAACACTTGTGATCGACCTTCCGGACCCCCAACAATTTGGGCAGGTGCAGTGGAGAGGCTTGTTGCCTCCATGGATGTGCAAACAGCAGTGTTTATAACAAAGAAGAAGAAGAGGTTTTTAATGTTTGTTTTAAAAGACCTGGCCAAAACGACAGTGTTTTTGAGCCAGGTCATTATAAAAATTTTAAAAACTAAAATATCTCTGTTTTCTCTACAGAGCCCGAGAATCCCGGTCTTTTCCAGTATCCCTAAATTATATTTAAGAACTCCGAGCCTCAATCGTCGCAACCTTCCAACTTTAAACCTAACTTACCTTATCCCCCACCACCATTTGCCGTTCCACCGCCCTTAGCTGCCTAATTTTATTTCTTCCAAACTCATATAAGTTTTTTAATCCTAGACTCTAGTCCCAACTCCCAATTAATAATATATATATATATATATATATGTATATGTTACATTAACAAATTTTATCTTTGTAGAGTCACTAATTGTGTTATGTTGCTAAGGAGAATTTATTGGTTTTATTACCTTTGAGATTAATCTTAATTTATTCAATGAACCAAATTCAATAGAAAATAGTGATATGAAACCAAATTAGTCTAATATTTTTTTATTTTTGAATTTTTATCTTGGGATCACCCGATCTTGAAATCCTAGATCCACTATTGATGTCAACAATAAGAAATGAGCACGTTTATCAACGCTTAAGTAATAATCCAATCGTTAACCTTCATGTCATTTAGTGTACAAATATTTATGTACAAATTTAGTCTTCCAAGCATTATTCTTAGAAATGAGAAAAGGTTAGTTCATCTCATAATATTGTAACAACATCCCAAACTATATAAGAGATCAAATCCTCTGCACATATTTTGTGTGTGGCCTTTCTATGACATCTATCATTAATTGACACATGTTACATTTATGACTACAAAGTTAAGGAGGGTTAAGTTTATTAATACACGTCAATCAACGATAGAGTCCACAGAGAGACCACACACATTATAGATACAGAAGATTTGAACTCAATTTATAATTGACAGATTACAAATTTAGTAGGGTTTATCGTTGGCCTAGAGCAAGCAAAATTTTAAGGTGAATTCAACTGATATTCTGACATTAATTTGCATGTTGTGTGAGCAAGGTGTAACTAATAGTCAATTAGTAAAATTGGTGACGAATACATTTTTCTCAGGCAAATATCAAAATTGAAAGTACCGTGTACTTATCATGAATAATTATGTACGGTATGAGTATCATTTCGATTCTCAACAAATTGTGCATTCTGATCTATAACTTATATGATTACAAGTAACTAACCACGATAATCATGTGATAATTGTACAGTATTTGTTGCATCATTAGATTATCTGCTGTCATTTAAAAGGTGCGGTTTAATTAGCATTTTCGTAATGAATTATTATGATCATTCTATCGTCACAATGACGTAGTGTTCTTTTTTATTAAGTTGCGAGGGGATTGAGTGATACTTGATATTTGTTGTCATGATAGTTTTTGCTTGTAATTCCATGTTCTCGAAAAAAACTAGTTCACAACTAACAGAATTATTATTTTATATGATGAGTAATAAAACACAGAAGAAAAAGACCATGATTTAAACTTGTTACGGAAGAAAATAAAAGTAACATCATTATGCTTTAACTTCAAATCACAAAACAAATTCAAAACACGCAACACATTAATTCAAAATAAATCGTTAAATTAAAGATTGTGCTATTTACATATCGTTTTTACTTTTCACGCACATATTATCAATTTATGTCATTTAATCTTCTTTAATTCATCCGATCTGATAATCAGAAATTAAAAAATTATAAAAATAAAAAATTAATGTATGAATAGCACATTATAAATCAAATAAATTAAGCTACAATAAAAAATTAAAAAAAGAGCAACTAAAACTAAAAGTAGCAGAACCTAATATTTTAACAGCTAAAAAAAGGACATTGACCGTACTCAATCCAGTTCTCTAGGAAACCACACCCTTCAAACTTCAAACTGCATACAACAACACCACTCCCGACATAATTTTACTTCGATAGACTGAAAAATAAACGAAGATAATGTAAGAAATTAAACTACAAAGATTGTTTAAAAATTCAAACAACGTTGGGAATAACAAAGGTTTAACCTTGGTTTATTGTCACAAAAGTGGGTTTGCTTTCTCAATTAGTTAAAAACGTATGTCGGTCTTTGCACTTAGAATTCAAATTTTCTTCGGTATATGTTGTAATAGTTTAGAATGTCACCGAAAAAAAGAAAAAAAAAGGAAATCGGCATGTATCGAGTTCTTCTTTCCATGACCGTTAATAAAGCCGCAGCCGTAGATTTGGTCAGGTGAGGCCCTTTCGATTGGGTCCCGCAGACAAGTAAGCATCTGAAATCTGAATCCGATCCATCAAATTTAAAAGCGCAATGACACAACGCGGAGTTTATTGCCTACAGCGGGACCCACCACAATTCTAATAGTTAATCAGTGGCGACGATGCCACCCCAATCTTAAGTGCTCGCTGGACCCACGCCAGCCGTTGATCAACCCCCTTCCCATTAGGGCTCAGTGTTGTGCTTTTCTGATGTGGAGCATCCGCACTTCTCACCATTTCCAGAATGGACGGCAATTTCGGAATAAAAAATACTACTATTATCATTTATTTGTATCGTCTATATAATACAGTTGAGATTTACATACATTGACAAAACTTATCTTTATTAGATGAATACTACAAATAATGGTACAAATAGATTGTAAATGTAGCATTACTCTTTTGGAATTATACGACAACAAAAAAAGAGAAAAAAATGAGACGTGATATTCACACATCTTTTTTTAATTCTCACACTCTTTTAATTTTCGACCGTTGAATCGAATGAATTGAAAAAGATTAAGAAATATAAATCAACAAGAAATATGTGAGAAATAAAAATAGATGTGTGGATAATTAAAAAAAAAAAAAAAAAAAACTGTCCTGTGATATTGATAACCAACAAGTAACAAAAACATCACTGTACACAAAAGAGGACCCAACATTAACTTATAGTTACCATCCATATGTTTAAAAATAAAAAAATAAAAACACTAAGGGTGGAGGGGCAACATCGTATTTTCGTACTAGGAACGCCATAAACACAACGGCGGGGTTGTCAACGGCTCCACAACAGTCTGCACGATCAACGGTTAGGATTTGCTCTACCGAAATCCGCCAGCTTCCTAGACCGGCTCTTGCAGAACGACGCCGCGACACGAATCTCGCCGGCTATCTCAGGTGGCAATCCCTTCTGGTTCCAGTGCCGGTTCGGGCTGGCTCGAACCAGCGGGCTAAGGCAAAACGCAAGGCCCGACATGTTGTTCTTTCCCTGCCCGGCACGTGCCCTCCGCGTCGACTGCGGGGCCAGCGCCGGCGTCTTCTTCCACTCCGGCGTCGTTGCCGACGAGTCACCGCTTCCCGGCCGCAATCGATCGCAGTCTTCGAAGCGATTGGGCGTTACGTCCGGCGACAATCCCCGAGGTCTCTGGCAACCGGATGACTCGTCGACGTAGAGATGCTTCGACCGATTCCGCGTTTTTCTGGCGAAGATCGAAGAGAACCACGAGGGCGACGAAGCCGACGACGAAGAAATGGCCGGAAGCGACGAATCACTAGGACCCGACCAGAACTTGACGGATCTGGATCGAAAAAGACTCGATAGGAGCGAAAACCGGGCCTTGCTCTTCTTACACGAACCTTCAATGGTGGAGGTGGAGGTGGAGTTGGCGGTGGCATATGTGGGGCCCACCTGAGGCGTACTGTAGAATCGAATCCGGTGCTGGTGCCACGTTGAGACGTCCGATTTTCTTCGAGAGACGTAAGGGGAGACGGAGCGGGGGAAAATAAGCGGCCGAGGGTTGGCATCGGACTTGCGGTTGGGTTCATCGAGCGGCGCGGCGGGTGTCCGGGAGTGGAGTCTCGAGAGCTGGGCCTGGGCCTGGGCCTGGGTTTGGGCCTCGATGATGGCGGCGAGGCGCTCCCGGAGACAGGAGGCGCAGACGCCGAGGGTGCTGGTGAGGTCGGGGAGGTGCTTCTTGCACCTCATTTAAAACATTTACTATTCAAACCCACCAAATCGAATTGTCAGTTGAAATGTGTTTATACAAGAAGTGGGTACACGGAGAAATATCAGGGATCTTTATTGCATTTCAGAGGAAATGGAATCTTTTGATTGCTGGGTGCAAAATTGAAAGGGATGGATGTTCTTCTTCTGGGAACCCAAAGGCTTCTTCTGCACTGGCCAAAAGGGGAAGCTTTGTCTTCTTCTTCTTTGTTTGGGTTTTGCAGTGAAGAGAGGGAGAGTGGGTGGGAGTTTTTATGTGTGTGTGTGTGGAGAAATGAGTATCTGGTATCTTTATTAAATTAAGAGGGGAGAAATAACACATTCAATAGTATGCTTCGAAAATATTCTTTTTCATTTACAAGTGAAAGATCTTATGCTCGAATATCCTGAATGGCAAATTTGATATCAAATTAGATTGCCACTGTATGACCTAGCCTAACTACAACTTTCTCGTAGTGTGAAATGTATCATTGTAATAAATAAATAAAAAATGAAAAATTTTGAAATATGTCTAATTTTATAGGCCAACTTTTTAAATAGCTCTAATTTTTAGCTACTTTTGACCAATATCAAAAGACCTCATAAAAAATCTAGAGAGAGAAGTTTAGAGAGTGAAAGTAAAACATGTGCTGGGTTTGGGGTCATACTTCAGTTACTTATGAGGAGGCTGGAAGAAAGAAGATGTTTATGTTAGGAAATAAATTTGGAAGACAAAACCTCTCTTAATCATAATTACCCAAAAAAGATTTTGTTGAACTTATCTGCTAATTGACCGTTTGTTAGTCAACCGAATGTGTGGTTTCTCATTAATAGTTGACAGTCATTCATGCATAATGACAAAGTTGAATAGTCAGTTTTCCATTCCATTTTAGTTTTGATTAGCCTCATGCAGGTATCAAATTCCTCACAAACATAAATTGTTCTAATTATTCATATGAATCCATTCTTCCCTTAGTTTTTGGGTGCCTTCTAAGTAACTTCTTACATTGTAGCTCTGGTTTTTGATAACCAAATTATCTTAATATTATCATCACTAACAGAGAGCACATACTTTGTGTGTGTGAACAACCGCCCACCTCCTCCCAAGTTCTCCTCAAGTGCAACTGCTTCAGTTCATTCAAACTATTAAAAAAAAAATCATGATTTCACTTACCTGTATGAAAAATTGATAGTAGGACAATTTCTCTTAATACGTGCATATCTTTATCTTATGTAAATATTTTGATACAAAATTACTATTTTGCCCTCCTTATGTAAATATTGTGTATCAAAAGTGAGGACAAAATAGGAAAAGAGGGGATATAATTGTCATTTTGTCAAAAAGTAGAAAATTACTATTTTGCCCTTCTCATCTCAACATTATGTATTCAAAAGTGAGGAGCAAAATTTAAAAAAGAGGGCAAAAAGGTTGACAAGGTGTGTTCTCTTAATAATATAGAATAGATGTAGATATAATATAGATAATATAAATTAGGTGAAGAAAAAATGGGCTTATGTGGCAAGTAATCCTATCTCAATCTTTGTGTAGTTGGGAGTTTGCATAGAACTATTGGTTGGGCTAGATTTACTACCTTGGTGGAGAAGTCAATGAAACGCGCGTCGTTGAGAATAATTAAGCTGGGAAAGGTGATGGAGCAAATTTCAAATATCTGTTTCATTTTTATTGCTAACAATATTTAAATTGATGCTGATTAAAATCATTATTTTTTATTTAATTCTTACTTACTAATGAAATAAGAAATAATTAACTCTTCCAAAAATATAGTCGGATCTAAAGGCCCTTTTTTTTTCTTAAGGTCATTTTAGCTCGAAAATGTGCAAAATATATCTCCATATACTAGGTAGTAATATCCTAGTGAACATTTGAAGAAAAAAAATGTTGCTGGAGATGAAAAAAATAATACATTAAAAAAATAATATTTTCCTTTCTTTTATTTTCTTATTAACTAAGAAGCCATATTGCCAAAAAAAAAAAAAAAAAAAAAGGAAAAAGAAAGAAGGAATTAAAGTAAGATGCCATTTATCTTTTGATTGGGAGTTTTGAATGAGATGGAAGGATTTTAGAGGGAGAATGTATCCCTTGGGGTCACTTTTTCCGTGTGTGTTGAAGACTCGACAATTTGAAATGAAAATAAATAAATAAAAAATGTTCTAACCAATTTGTTGTGACGAGGACCCAAATTGCCTTTTTTATTTTTATTTTTTTTTTTCAGAATATCAAAAATGGAATTGTAATATAGATTAAAAAGGTATAATGCCTGTCAATATTATACCTATATTTTTCTCTTTGGGGGGTTTTGGTGGATGCAAATTTTGTCCAATGTTGAATTGATGAAAATCTACCTACAAAATGATAAACACCGTTAGTTTGATTGACGAATATCCGAGAAAAAAGGGAAGTTGTTTGCCAAAGGGCCTTTAATGCCCAAGTCAGAGAGATAGTTTGAGAGAAACTAGAACATAGAGAATTCAAAGTAAAAAAGTGACGATTACTGGTTTTCTTATTGAACTTGGCTATTTATAGGAGTGAACCCTTGCAGGTAGCTGGGAGAGGAGGTCGCAGGACATACTAGGCAGACTGCTATGTTCTGCTAGGTGATGAAGACCCGACTCTACAACTGCTCATGAATAGTCCTGGACGTCTTTGGTAAATAACTACGTCGTAACATCAGGCACCAAAGGAGACTCAGGATGGGATATTATGGGCTTAAAAGGGTACCTTGATATGTAACTGACCGAGATGCCCAATACATGAAGTGCAGGCAGATGCTTGGCCCTTTGTGGTACCCAGTGGTCTGCTCATGACATTAAGAAAAAAAACTATCATATTGAGCTGAAAGTCCATGCGTCATTTTTCTATTGGATGTAGTTAGTTTATGCTTCCACAGGTTGAGTTTGTTCCTCCACTTGCAAATAACGTATTTTCATTGTAGAAATCTTATTATCATAATCATTCAATTTCTTAATCTTCATTTGAAGATCATGCTTGCGAAAAACCATCATTCAAATGTATCAAGTAAATGGATGGTTCATCATTAGCATGTTACTTCATACCTAGGCCTGGCAAACGGGTCGGTCGTGTTCGTGTCGTTTTTGTGTAACACCTGTTATCTTAACAAGTCGTGTTGTGTCGTGTCACATCCGTTATCTTAACGGGTCCTTAACAGGTCGGGTCATTTTACCCGTTCGGTAAAGTGACCCGACCTGTTAAGAAAAAAATAAATATTTTTTTTTAAATTTGCATGTAACATCCCACATCGCCCAGGGGACTGATCCTTAAACGTATATTCCCATCCCTACCTAGCACGAGGCCTTTTGGGAGCTCACTGGCTTCGGGTTCCGTAGGAACTCCGAAGTTAAGCGAGAAGAGGGCTAGAGCACTCCCAGGATGGGTGACCCTCTGGGAAGTTGCTCGTGAGTTCCCAAAAACAAAACCGTGAGGGAATGGTAAGCCCAAAGCGGACAATATCGTGCTACGGTGGTGGAGCGGGCCCGGGAAGTGGTCCCACCCGGGCCGGGATGTGACATTTGGTATCAGAGCCTATCCCTGGCCGGAAATGTGCCGATGAGGACGTCGGGCCCCTAAGGGGGGTGGATTGTAACATCCCACATCGCCCAGGGGACTGATCCTTAAACGTATATTCCCATCCCTACCTAGCACGAGGCCTTTTGGGAGCTCACTGGCTTCGGGTTCTGTAGGAACTCCGAAGTTAAGCGAGAAGAGGGCTAGAGCACTCCCAGGATGGGTGACCCTCTGGGAAGTTGCTCGTGAGTTCCCAAAAACAAAACCGTGAGGGAATGGTAAGCCCAAAGCGGACAATATCGTGCTACGGTGGTGGAGCGGGCCCGGGAAGTGGTCCCACCCGGGCCGGGATGTGACATTGCACATACCACACATTGCCACATAAATATTATTTCAAAACATTAAAACATTTGTCGTTTAAGTACTATATCTACACTCGAAAATAAGAGCCTAATAAAAATATAATACATACACTACTAATCTATTACAAATATTAAATGTGCAAGGATATGCAAAATGAAAGAGTTTTTGTTTTCAAGATTGTAAGTCTTTCTCAAAAGTTTACACCTCCATCTACAAAATCTTCAATTTACATCGATCATCATGAAATTGTGTTGGAACTTTGGCTTGATCTCTTGCCTTCAAGAGTTATGTTGAAGATGTTTTTTGTAAGGTCTTCCACGTTAGAACTCTCTTCCGCATAAACTTAGTATAGAAAAACCAAACATTAAAAATCATTCAAATTATTAGAAGTTTACCAAAATAATTATGAAAAGAAATAAAATAATAATACTATACCATATAAAAATATATTAAAATAACCGTTAAATCGTGATTTTTCGTTTATAACCGTCGAAAAGCTTTGTCCTGTTACTTGATCTCTGAATGTTTTTTTTTTGTGATTTTTTACTGATATGATCTGCAAGCATATACAAACAAGTTTGACGGTTCGGATCGTTGAAATTAGTTTTGGAGAATTCGTGTCCCATCAAAATGATAGATTGACTAACACTTAGAGTTTATCTATACTTTCATTAAGTATAACATAAGATTTTGTGGTATCCACTTGTGTAAATATTTTAAATTGAAGATCGAATTTATTCATTGTATTCATATAGGGTCAAGGAGTGTAGTTGTAAAAAATCATCAAAATCGGAGTTAAAATAACCGTTAAATCGTGATTTTTCGTTTATAACCGTCGAAAAACTTTGTCCTGTTACTTGATCTCTGAATGTTTGTTTTTTGTGATTTTTTGCTGATGTGATCTCCAAGCATATACAAACAAGTTTGATGGTTTGGATCATTGAAATTAGTTTTAGAGAATTCGTATCCCATCAAAACGATAGATTGACTAACACTTAAGAGTTTATTTATACTTTTATTAAGTACAACATAAGATTTTGTGGTATCCACTTGTGTAAATACTTTAAATTGAAGATCGAATTCATTCATTGTATTCATATAGGGTCAATGAGTGTAGCTGTAAAAAATCATCAAAATTGGAGTTAAAATAGCCGTTAAATCGTGATTTTTTGTTTATAACCGTCGAAAAGCTTTGTCTCGTTACTTGATCTCTAAATGTTTGTTTTTTTATGATTTTTTGCTGATGTGATCTCCAAGCATATACAAACAAGTTTGACGGTTTGGATCGTTGAAATTAGTTTTGGAGAATTCGTATCCCATCAAAACAATAGATCGACTAACACTTAGAGTTTATTTATACTTTCATTAAGTATAACATAAAATTTTGTGGTATACACTTGTGTAAATATTTTAAATTGAAGATCGAATTCAATCATTGTATTCATATAGGGTCAAGGAGTGTAGCTATAAAAAATCATCAAAATCGAAGTTAAAATAATCGTTAAATCGTGATTTTTCGTTTATAACCATTGGAAAGTTTTGTCCCGTTACTTGAT